ATACAAAGGTGGGTGACTGCATCACTACTTTTGTGTTATGTTTGTGATAGATTTAGCTGGCCCGTCTCACATGACTGTGGAAACCAGTGTGACATCACAGCCCAGCACACAGTCTCGCACACTTCCACATCAGACATGTTAGACACTGGTGCTACTTTTTACTTGTAGATAAAAATACAGCGAGATGCACTATTTGTGGCAATAAAGTGCCACACGCAGTGACCTCTTCAAACATTTAAAGACAGCTTGAAAGTTAAAGGAAGCTTATTATTTAATCATAGCATTCCTGAAAAATACTGGACTGTTAAATAAATGTTCTACTACTTGCTTATGGAATGACATTTGATGTTAGTGGCTGTCTGGTGAGAAACACTGATTGTAAACTCCATCGGGCAGCTCTAACAAAAATCTGGTTGTGGTTTGAATCCGAATTGAATTTATTGTGTGTGTGTGTGTGTGTGTGTGTGTCCCCTCTCCAGGCCAGGATGACTGGAATGGGACCCAGCGGACAGTTGCAGGGAAGGCCCCTCCCCCCTCCAGAGGTGCCAAGACGCCCTACCGGGAGCACCCTTACCGACAGTACTGAGGCGGACTCGCCGCCCGTAACGTGTCGCCCTGACTACCGCCTGTCTACCACGGCAGCTCTCGCTTTAAGCAGCCCGACAAAAGTAATTGTCCGTTTTGTCTTTGGTTTGGTCTTTTCCTACACTGGACTTTATACGAGACAGCAAATTGGGAACTGAAAATCGGAACTGGTTTTTGAGATTTGACCTACTTTGTCGCACCTACCAACCAACCAGCCACCGTTCCCTCCAGCCAACCACCCAAAGCGGCATTTAGATGGGTTAGAGAGGAGAAGTTGGCGTCTATTTTTCTTTTGTTCTTTTTTTTATTTGAATTTTAATTTATTTTGCTGTATTTTTTCCCTCTGACCCTTTTGACCCCCCCTCTGGCTTTTTTTTTTTTTTTTTTTTTTTTTTTTTTTTTTTTTTTTTTTTTTT